ACGCCACTCAAGGTCAAACCAATGTTATCATCTTATGTCCTCCTCGAAGTCCGAAAACTTTTGTCTGAAACATTTTTTCCTAGTGTGCTTATTTTTCGAGATATTTGAAGGTTTCAGGTTAAAAAAAACACCCTGTACATATATAGATTTATATACAGGGTGTCTTATACTCAATGGTACAGCGCTTGTGGGCAGGTAGTGTGGACCAAATTGAACAAAAAGGTCCTCTATCATTTTGCGATCTTTGCAATAGTTTTCGAAATATTAATATATAAAGCTCGTCGAATCTGAACGCGCAGCGAGGTACGCCCGCCCGCCGCGGACCGCGGTTACTTCCCCCGCGCGCTTAGTTGGCGGCACGTGGTGGGGGTAACTGATTGTCTAGCGCACGATAATGGATAACCCCCACCACGCGCCGCCAACTAGCCGCGCGGGGGGAGGTGACTGCGGTCGGCGGCGGGCGAGCGTATCTCGCCGCGCGTTCAGATTCGACGAGCTTTATATATTAATATCTCGAAAACTATTGCGAAGATCGCAAAATGATAGAGGACTTTTTTGTTCAGTTTGGTCCATATTACCTCCCCACAAGCGCTGTACCATTGAGTACGAGACACCCTGTATATAGAGGATCTATTTTTTTTTTATTTATTTATAAAAAATCAATCATATGTATTATCTAAATATAATTAATCCTAAAATGTTTTTATTTTCCATAAAAAATTCCTGATAAAAAAATACGATAGAAAACGATTAAGATTGATAGGATTTTTATGTGAATGTATTGTTCTCTAACAGGTCATCACAAAAGTGTTATAATACAAATCGTAGCATATTTAATCGGTTTTAATCGAATCTGTTTTCTATACGAATAACACGATAGATATTTTATCGATTTCAATCCTACGCTATCTGTTGTACGGTATTTAATTCGAATTTAATATATCAATATGTATAGTTTCTTATAGATTATTTCAAAGACAGACTTTGTCGTGCATATACTATTGAAAATAAATAGTTTTCAGTCGAAAATTCCTGGGTGCAGTAGTTTATCAGTAAATAACTGACGCTCTACTCGCCTCTACCGTTAATTCATTTAAAGATCCTATAAGAATCTATACGAAGAACACGATAGGAAAGAAATCATTTTCTGTATAACATTTCCACACGGAATTACCTATGGGTTTGTACTCGGCTTTCCCGATACAAAGTCAAATTTCTTCGGAATTAATATATCGATATGTATAGTTTCTTATAGGTTATTTCAAAGACAGACTTTATCATGCATATACTATTCAAAATGAGTAGTTTTTAATCGAAAATTTTTGGATACAGTAGTTTATCAGTAAATAACTGAAGACGCTTTACTCGCTTCTATCGTTATAAATTTCTCATTTAAAGATCCTATGAAAATCTATGAAGAACACGATAAGAAAGAATTAAACCGTTTTCTGTATGACATTTTTACACGGAATTACCTATGGGTTTGTATTCGACTTCTCCGATACAAAAGTTGAACTTCTTCGGAATTAATACATCAATGTATAGTTTTCTATAGGTTATTTCAATGACAGCTGACTTTGTCGTGCATATACTATTGAAAATGAATAGTTTTCAATCGAAAATTCCTGAGTACAGTAGTTTATCAGTAAATAATTGAAGATGCTCTACTCGTATTTATCATTAATTTCTCATTTGAAGATCCTATGAAAATCTATACGGAGAACACGATAGAAAAAGGATAAAGAGAATAATGGAAAGAGAATAATGGAAAGAATAAGTCCTTTCTACAAAGTATCATTAGCTCAGCGTTAGCGTATAAGTCTGTAGTTCTAGGGATCTCAGGTTCGAATCTCAATGTTTTCAAAAATTATAAACCTGCGTATAAATTGTAATTAATAAAATAAAAAATATATATGCGGAATAATAAACACAAATTTGTAAGCTTGTCTTCAGATTTCAAGGATCAGCAAAATGGATATGCATATGTCAATTAAAACTTCACTTTATTATTAAGAATTACAATTATACATGTGCGGTGTATCTCAAGCGTCTGTCTCATGTAAATCACTCTTCAACTCGCGCTTTCGCCGACAATCGATTATCTTCAACACTTTCATGTGCTCAATTCGCTAGCTCCGATTATTCGCGAGTGCCGCGAGTGTCGTTGCTCCGATTCTTTTCTAATTCGCATTGTCACGTTTGACGCCCGGTGTGCCCTCGCCTGTCAACTATTTATAATTTTCCGACACTCGCGCCGCGCTGGTGCTTACAAATTAAACTTTAAAAATAATAATAAGTAATAATAGAATAAAAAAAAATAAATTTTTTTTTTCAGTAATTTTTATATGCGATATTTCACATACAACCTCATTGAAAACGTATCTATTAATGCAGATTATAATCAATATACCGCCTATCGTCAATACCCCAATTGGGAAATCCGGATTAAGAAATTTGATTCAAAACGATACAATTTTTTAAATCGGTTTCTATCATTTTTTTTACCAGGGTAGTACTCTAGTACTCTCTAGTACTCTTCTCTAGTACTCTTTTATATCATTGCAGGGTGTATAAAAAGTATCGAGATGGTGAAATATTTCGAAAACTAAGCGTTGTTTTCGAAATATTTCGTTAAAATAGGACACTCTGTATATGTATAAAGTTTGTATTAGATACAAAAGTAAATTTTTTAATTTAACATTAAAGAAGACATGGAAAGTAATCGTTACTTTTTATGTAATAGTAACCGTAACGAGTTATTTTTGAGAATCAGTAAAAATTTACTTTTTTAACTTGGTAATAAATAACGAGATAACAAATTACTTTCAAGAAGTAACTTTCCTTACCTTAGGTAATTTTTCCACGTAATTTCTAATTGTTTGTGAAGTCATTTTTAAGGGGAGAACCTCATGTAAATGGCCGTTTTTTCTAGATTTTTTTTTAATGACAAAATTGATTAAATTTAGACTAAGTATAATACATAATAATAAGACATAATAATATTCACTATTTAAGGTAAATAAAAAAATTTTGTTGGTGTTGAAAACTTTCAAAATGGCGGTACAGCAGCTGCTTGAAGTTGGCTCCTTAAATTTGCGCCGGGCAACGCCGAGGTCACAAAATTAATCTGAAACAAAAATTTCAAGAAAATTTTGTTAGTTTATGTAAAAATGCACAACATGAACCTAAATAATTAATAAAATTCATAAAATTGTTAAAACAGCGACATAAAAAAAATTCACTTTTTTGTCTTAAAACAATTGTTAATAATTATTGTTTAAAGCAAAATATTAATTATTAGGTTTATGTTGAGACCAGATAGTTGAAGAATGAGCATGTAAAATTTAAAGATGATCGGTCAAGTAGTTTTTGAGTTACATTGTACGGCGCGCAAAATTTAGCGTTTTGAGAAAAAGACGTTTAAAGTTTTCGAAGAAAAAATCGTTAAAATTGTAATTTATTTAAACTTACCTCGATTTTTGATCAATCAGCAATTCCAGGGCCGTACAGCGGATCTTCCTCTCCAAATTCCTGTAACTGAGTTGTTCTTTTTTCTTTTTGAGCAGTATGGGCTTCTTTTGTCGAAGCGAGGCTGCGGCGCTCCTGCCATTGTACTCGGTCATAGGAAGGAAGTCTCTTATAACTTTTTAATGTTTTTTTTCATATTTTTGAGATAATTTCCTAACAATTTAAGCAAAAAAAAAATCTAGAAAAAAACGGCCATTTACATAAGGTTCCCCCCTTAAGATATTCTATAATTATACAATTATACATATTAGTTATTAATTGCGATTAATTTCAATTAATTTTTCTATAATAGGACTACTTCATTCGAATCTGTTGATGTATCGCAATGCGTGATATGTAAGAGCAGAATAAATTCACCTAAAATGATGAAATGTCGGCATACTTTTTGCCTGCAATGTTTCAAAAATCGTTTTATAATATCACGCAAAAGAGGTATGTTATATTTAAAATGTTATTTTTATATAAATAATTATTTTACGGAATATTTTAATCAGGTTAATTGATACTTATGATAGATATTTTAAAAATACTACATTTTATAATACAAAACGATTGCCTATATGGTTTCGTTTACACAACCCATACATTATACATATGTACACATATATACATATATATATATACAGGGTGTCCCAAAACTCGCGGATTTCCTTTTAGGTGCGCATTCTTTAGAATATTCTAAGACGAAAATCCTAATACGAAAATGTCGAGTTAAATGTTAAATAAATATTAAATTAATAGTTAGTTTTTACATTAATAAATATTAATTATAACAACATAACATTATTAATTGTTACTAACAAATATTGAATATTAAAAAAACTTATAAAAGATGTTCGAAATGATCACCATTGCATTGGATGCATAATCTTGCGCGTCGAGAAAAGATCGGAAGAGCACACGT